GCCATAACATGAGAAAATAAAAATTACAAAAATGCCCCTTGGGCCATAACACTCAAATAAACTAACCTAGGGGTAAAACAGGAAATAACATAAAATAATAGCTAAAATTCATAAAATAAATTTTAAATAACAATTTAAATTAGAGCCGTCGATTTACGACGCCTCCTGTGATAGATGCGCCAGATCTTCGTGCCGATGTCCGCATCAGTTATACAAATAAAATATTAACAAATGCTTACCATGGCATACGAAGAAGATTGATTAGGAGAGGCTATCTGTTTATCTAAAAGCTTTAGTGGGAGTTGAAACCATAGACCTATGATTTGAGACCAACGCTGTTCAGTATCAGACAAACACAAAAAGTCCTTTGACCTAAAGCTGATGCAAGCAAAAAATTAAGGAAGACCCTAATTTTTGCAAGCATATAAAAGACTTCCTAGAAAATAAACAAAATACTCAACTTAAAACAAAATACAATACCACTTTATATCATAAAAATGACACTTACAAGATTAGAACATAAAACAACTAAAGCTGCTCTTCTTGCTTGAGAAAAAAGATACATATGCGATGGATACTTGCGGAAAGAAGAAAGAGGTAAGAAGCCCGAGACGAAGGAGAGGCATAGCTCGCAAGCTATCCTAGAAGAAGGAGATGAACGGAACAAGCTCGCAAGCTTTTCCAAAGAAGAAAACCGTAAGGTTTTAGTTCCAAAAATCTCATCATAAAACTCTCTTTTAAGCACCAAAACATCTAATATTTATAGGAGAAAAGGGGCAGCCAAACAGCCCAACTTACTTCCAACCTAGCCAATCAAATTAAGGGAAATAGAAGGCTAGCTTTCATTCCATAAACAGCACCCGACAGCCACACAGAAAATCGAAAAAGGCAGCCATCGCATAACCTTAACCCTAATTTCTCCCCCATACTTAAGGCATACAATTAATCAATAAAGCAAAAAAGGCCTAGAAGCTCTTGCTACCCCCTCCTTTGGCTCCAATTTGAATTTTGAATCCCTAGTGGACCCTACCCAATCTCGTCACCGACTCTTTTCTCCTATACACGTGAACCGACCCCTTAGAAGGAACTAGACCGGTCGAACATAAACATCTTCTAATTAATCCCCTCCAAATCAGCCCCTCCACCCGCCAGCCATCTCTCCACCACTAGCTCCATCATATTTGAAATTCAAATTTCGAATTTCAAATTCTTTCCAAATAGGGAATCCCATATTATGAAAGTTTCTTTCATGAATCCAATTTCAACATAAATCAAATTGGAGTTTTTCTTTCTTTCCTAATATTCACTACCTATTTGGAAACTCCTCTACCTCCTTCCCCAATCCCCTCCCACATGCATGATGCCGCCAGCCCCCTTATTGGGCTTCCCCCATTGAATGCTCAATTATTTCTCCACCCTTATTTGAAATTCAAAATTGATTTCAAATATTCTCCCTCCAATTTCACTTGAGCTGAAATTAACTTCAGCTTTTATTCTCTTCCCCCTAATCCCTCTCCCTCTCATCATGCCGCCGGCCCCTAGGGGGTTCAAACATTAATTGCCCCATCAATTGCCCATCCCCACTTGGTATTCAAAATTCAAATTCATTTAATCTCCCCCCAATTCTCTTAAAACTGAAATTAATTTCAGTTTTTTCTAAACCCCTCAAACCCTAAGTGGATCTACCCACCCTTCCCCTATTCTTCTCTCTCTCTACCCGAGCCCACCTCCTCCCCTCTTTGCTTGGCCAAGTTCCACCAAGAGAAGACTCTTCTACCACCAAATTCATCCACACCGCAAGGTCATCTCATAATCATGAATGGCCGATCTGGAGCGTGATCACGGCTTTGCATACGATAATCAAGGCGACATCGACATCATCTGATCGCCGTTCTTTGACGTCGAATTCGGCTTCGACCACACCTTCGAGGATTACTTGAACCGTATTCTTCCCACCCTCGTAGACGTCATCGACGAGCAACTTCCAACAGACGATTGGATCATCAAAGGGCGTCCACCATCTTCCCCAAATCCCACTTCCTCCTCGGCGGCTAGCCCCCTCGGCATTACTTGTCCAATAGTGGCATCGTTGAGTTTGTGCGCCATCCTCTTCCACTAACCGAGTGAACAAGAGTGAAAGTGAGGGATTTCGAGGTGAAGGATCTATATCTTAAGCCTTGGATTTTTGTTAAGAGTCATTTGCTTTATTAGTTATTTATTGGATTAATTTTGTTTGTTTCATGTTGCTTCTAAATGTAATTCATTGACGTTGCTTAGTTCTTCCATGGAAATTTCTTACGATCTATCTTGGAACGCATTTGTTTAAAATTAGCAACGCAAGTTCACAAGTATTAATTTATAACAAGCAATTCTTGCATCGTATCACATCATAATCCCTCCAAATCAGAATTCAAATTAGGTCTCTTGCCCTACATAATTTCCTCCTAACTGTAATTAAAATTTTATTAAATAATTTTCATTTGATTAAGAACCTTCCTAAATAGCTTCCTCTTGATTAGGAAATTTCTAATTCTATCCCAATCAAATTTTTAAGACAATCTCTAGATCTTAGATCTTAGATTTTACCCACATACACTTTAACTGTAATTCCAAGCATTGAATTGGAATGCGCATTTTTAATCAGATCCTCTAAAAACTTGCAGAGTAATGAAAGCATTGAACAAATCAGAATAAAGTAAATAAAAATAATAACCTCTTTGTAACACTGCCACTATTAACAGGGGATGATAATTAAATATTTTATCAAAAACAAGAAAAGTCACCTTGTCCAGACCAGGAAGAAGATTCAAATAGAGCATTAGCAATGTCAGAAATAGATGCTTCTGCAATCGAAAGAGGGGTGCGCAAACCAGCTTTATAAAGTGCCCTCGCTCGTGACCCCTGGGATATGCTCGGATATGTAGCAAGTAAAACTAGCATATCAAAGGACATACAAACTTTTTCCAATTATTGTTAGTAATTCCATAAAGTGAGTGAAGATCGCCTTACCTTAACGTATGGAATGGTAGTGAGCTCCACAATTTCTGCTCTGACCCCAAATGAGACCCGATTTTGGAATTTAGCAACAAGACCTTCCAAATCATGCCATCCTAATCTCTCACAAAACAAGGATACCATTGAAGCGAATCTTCCAGCATTTTCTTGTAAGGCCTGAATCATTCCCCTAGCCACTTTGAAGGCTTCACAAACATCAGAAACAGGGACTTCCTGAAAGGATAAATTACAACAGACATCTTATGGTACTAGCAAAATACAAATTTTGAATATTTTTATAAAGTTAAAATAGAAAAAATGGCAGATTTCAAACAGATTTAATAAACTTATTAACTAATTATTTCAAAAAAAGAACATAAAATGCAGTTTAGATGTACTCTCATCTAATACTGCGTGGCAGTCCACAATATGATACCTTACCGAACACATCAAAGTAAATATTCCTGAAAACGCCACAATATCCCAGAGCTCACCACTTACCTCAGTGGATAATTGAACATGGTGATTTTGGAAACCACCTACGGTATGTAATTGCTAAAAAAACAGATAGCCAGCCTTCCTCTCGTAGCCTAATTTCACAAATACCAGCACACAAATGATCCCCTACTATCCCAATAACAGAAAACAGTTTTGCAGCAAGTAAGTTCCTTGTGTTACCATTACCATTAAATATCATTTAACTCTTAATCTTCAAAAAAAATATTTAACTTATTATTAACAAAAATTAGCAAAAAATCAAAACCACATAAAGGCAATAGGAATGCCATAACATTAAAACAAACTTGACAAGAAATGCAATGCATGAATGAAACCTTTACAAAAGAAAACAATTCAGTTTCCTGAATGAGCAACATAAATGAACCTTATGAAGTCATAAATATCATTGCCTAAGAAGCAATAGATGAAAGGCAAAGATGAATTATTAAGGAAATAAACTTAACGTAAGTATATCTACATTTGAAAACAGAAGATAAAAAGTAACCTGTACAAGCCTTGATAGCATAAGCGCGACAAAGAAACGCCTAGCAATTCGAAGGGACTGTTCATTTGAAAGTAGATCACTGACGTTGGTAGCACTCCGTGCATTCAAGTTGCCCTTTGGGCTCCTTTTTTTCCCTTTTGATCGATCTTGAACAGGCATTGGGGCACCATGGGCCATGCGCATCAAGAAAGGCTCCACCACTCCCACTCGGTTGCCAACAGACTTCAAAGTAAGAACTAAATCAGATTGCCAAAATATCTCAAGAAGACAGGCAGCAGAATTAAAGTTATGAGAAGCATTATGCATCTCCATAATTAACAACAAAACTTTACTGAACTATAAGAATAAAGATATTTCCACCAGAACAGAAATAGTGGCAACCATGTAATAATTTTTTAAAAAATTGCACATGCATCATCATACAGAATAGCATCTCATTCAGAATGTTCACAAAATGAACGAGATTATATGAAAACAAAATAAATTTCTGAGAACTTAGCATGGTATAAAACAATTATGGAAAATGAGCTTTAATGGGACAGAATTCTAGAACAAAACATACTCGAACATTATATAAAAAAGCTTCTATAACTGATAAACACGGGAAAATTGATAGACCTTCAATTCAACCATCAAGATTTCGAGTACTCTAATACGCAAGATGTTTAAGGGATGAAGCATACAATTTTCTCTTCCGTTGTTACACTGGAAAAACTATTAGGTGCGGAGTGCGCACCGTCCGCACTCCGCACCTAATAATCTCTCGTTACATTGTGGTTTGATTGCTTACAGGTTTCTTCTGAAGATCTATTCTTTCTACGCAATGAAAAATTTGCATGGAATTAAAAAATGCCATATTTAGAGACTGCATCTTACAAAGAAGAATTTCATCGAGGTTGTAAAATTAGAAAAGGAGACAAAAGAGATAGAAAGCAGAATGAAAGGTAAAAGTCAAGATTAGAAAAGAATATAGTTATGAGATATGTGATGAGGACATCGAAGATCAACGGCTACGATCGTGTCTATTTATATTGATGTATTTGATTTGTTATTTGTACTTTTCCCTTTTTACCCTCACTTGAGGGCTTTGTCTTATGTTTGCCCTAGGGGCAATTGTGTCTTTTATTTTCCTTCATGTATTTAGCAATTTAATTCTTCCCCTTCCTCTTGGAAAGGGATGGTTATTGAAAATGAAATTCTTCTCTTTGTGTTCTCTTTGTCAGTTCATATTTTCCTGATCTCTTAGTGAGTTCAACTCTCCTAGATCTCTGTGTGAGTTCTAGGAAAAACCCAAGGTGAGGGCAAAAGCAATACCCGTCAATCTTGGTGGATTCCAAGGTTCGCAGTTCTTTTGTCTTTCTTTTTCTTTTATTTTTTCTTGCATCGAATTCCCTCCACTTTCATTCCGCCATACCCCTTGATCCCCACCAAATTCCCCCTCCACAATTCCACCCGCCGGCCTAGCTCCTAGCCACCTCCACCCAAAGCCAAACCCGCATCTTCCTCTTGCCGCCGCCCCCACCAAGCCCCCTTTTTTTCATTGTGATGATGATCTCAATCATCATGCTATCTTCCAAATTTAGTTGGGCTTGAGAGGGAAAATTGGAGTCAATTTGAAATTCAAATTTTGAATTTCAAAACTTTCCAATTTTGAAAATTCCTATTTAGGAAAGTTTTATTCATGACTTCAATTTAAATTTCAAACAAATTGGAGGTTATAACCCATTGATTTAGCGAGAGACTCCTAAAATTTGAAATTCAAAATTTGAATTTCAAATAACTTCCAAATTTGTCCAAGCTATATTTGGAAGGTAGCTCCACAAATTCCTCCATCCATTCAAACCCCCATGTCTCCCAAAATCTGATTTCAATTCCACCATAACACCCTTCCTAATTTAGCCCATTAATTTAGGAAGAGATTTAAAATTCAAATTCAAATATTTGAATTTGAATTCTCTCTTAATTGCTCCTCCCCTAATTTAGGAGAGGTTATCAATTAAGTTAAATCTGAAATTAGATTCAGATTTATCTCCTCAATCATCTTAATTGCTTGGGCCCACTTGCCCTCTCATTAAATCTTGCCAAAACTCAAATTTTCTAAATTGGAATTCACGTGATTCCTTCTTTCTCCTGCTGGCTGAACTTTCCAACTCCTGTACATTAAATTCCCCCCACAAATCTCTCCCCAAATTCACTCTCCCGTGGAGTTTTCTGCCTTCTAAGGTTGCAGCCAGAAAATTCCAGCAAATGTCACTGTTTTCTCAGCAACTTGGAGCTTCAAAGTTGCTATTTTACAAGGCCAACCTGCTGCCCAAGGGCTCCCAGCTTTCATACAATTATGGTCCAAGTTTCTGGCCATCTCTAGGATTTATGTCCTGAACTTTTTCAGTAAGGAGTTTTGCTGTCCAACCCTCCGGAACAATACCGTTCACTGTCCAGACTTTTCTGGACATTATTGGATTGCTGTCCAAGATTTTCCAAGTACCAAAGCTGCTGTCCAGCGATCATGGCAACCTCCTATTGTTGTCCCGCTGCCTCTAAAGTCCAGATTGATGTCCCGCTGCATCTCGAAGGCTCATGGTAGCTGTCTACCTCCTCTCAAGACCCAAGCACCCACCGGAGTTGTCTTTCCTATTTCTTTGGGGTAACTCATCCTCCCAACTCTTTATCATCTTAGTTGCTTCCCACTTATGGTTTTAATAGATTCATAAGAAGCTTGTTAATTACTCTCCGCTAAAGCCTTAGAATTAGAGAGTTGATTGAGCAGACTCTAACATAGTGACTAGTCTTGTTGTTAAGAAAGGGATTTTTGTTGGAACCAATCATGTTTGCAACGTCATGGTAATTGACTAGTTTACAATCTTAACTTCTACGCATGTGATTTAGCCTGAGCTTGTTTTATCGCCTTATTATTTTATCTTAGTGTTCAAATCGGCATAAGTTTTATTTAACATTGTTCTTGAAATATTAAGCGTGCAAAATTCTTTAAGCAAATCACTTTCGCATGGATTGTTTCACATCAATATGCCTCTATTAGTCCTGCCATAAGCTAAACAGAAACTATTGTCTATAGGAATGAGAGGGATAACACAAACTACAAGAAACCTCAAGGTCCTATATAGTACATAAACTAGCTCTTCCTTGCTTTGGATCAGTTTTGAGGGCATTCAAAATGCATCCTTGAAAAACATTTAAATTCAACACAGCTGCAATATAGAAACTTGAAAGAATTGACACATTTCTCACAATTCGAATGAACCTCTTTCATCCTTGTGACTGCAGCGATTACTATTTCACAAAAAATACAGTAAAGCATAATATCACCATACCTACATAATGAACCTATAGAATTTCAATTAATTGTTAAGGCTTATTGAGTAAGCTAAAGAAAAACACCTGATCCAGGGGAGACAATTCCATGAATCGCTGGTAGTAAAGCTCCCAATCAGGTTCCACCTCAACATTTATGGGTGTCACCAAATAAACCAAGTGTAAATCAGATGCAAGGACAAATCCTTCCCTTGCTCTTGAAAGATCATTCAGTACAACCTACAAAGACAATATTCAAAGTGAAGCACCATGGAATAATAAAAGATAAGGAAATAATCAACAAAAGATAACAATATGATTATGAATATTTCAACCAGTGATTCTTCAGGACTAAGAGAACTGCCAAATGAAGCACGACCAAGAGGTGTCGAACTGTACAACCCAGTTTCTTCGTTCCATTCAAGAAATTTCTTGCGGCATAACCATCGAAGGGAATCTTGAGCTGATGCCACAACATCTTCAAAAGGTCTGGTCGAATTGAGAAGAGTACATCTGACATAACGATGAATGTCACTTGCTGATTGGACAATGCCCCCCGAAACTACCTCCATGATTGCGTGAGTCATACCATTTTTCTCTTCAGAAAGGCAAGATTGCAAAGGGGGACAACTATCATTCAGAATGGCAGAAACCTTTTTTGTTTCATCATGTTTGCATATAAGTATCTGAAAAAGTAGACTGTGAAGTAAATAACTTGAGAACACGACCACCGTAATGATAATAAGACAAAAGAAGCATGAAGGAAGAACTATATAATGAAAAGAAAAGAAAAAATACCAAAGCATGTTGATGTTGAATTGATATGAAACATGAAAATGACAAAAACTACAAACAACAGAAGATCATACACTTTCTCCTTTAGTATCTATTCCAGTTCGACCAGCACGACCAGCCATTTGTCTATATCGAGTTCCATCAATGAAATCACGGCCAATCCTTGGCTGCCTGAATATGACCCTCCTAGCAGGCAAATTAACTCCAGCAGCTAATGTTGATGTAGCAGTTAAAACACGCACAATTCCTTTGCGATAACACATTTCAATTATCTCCCTTTCCTCAACCTAAGAATCATTAGAATAAGTAGTTGCTTAATAAGCAAAAAAACTGGAAGAAAAATTTTAGGAGTTCAGCAGCAGTTTGGCTTTTTAACAAAGAAATGAGAATACAGACATGGACCAGAACAAGCAGGCAGGGTTCAGTAAGATACATTAAAGAGCTGATGCAAGTGACGACCATAATTAAATACACTTACTTATAGAGTTATAGTGTATTTGGATTTTTAAAATTATAAATAAAAATTAACTAAAATTGTTAGCCGGAAATCCAATTCTTATAAGGTATAGCAATTTCATCGACCAAACTTTTGTTGGAATTTATTTCTTTTTTAGTTTTGAAAGTTGACTAGAGGTGGAACCCCCGGGATGCTTCACTCTTGCCATATGAGAACAAGAGTACTCTGAAGGCTGTCGATCACTATGGTGGTGATGTAAAACGTACATGCACGGATGATTAGATTAAGGAAGTTTACATGCTTAATTTTTAGAGCACAATAATTATAAGCTTTCTCTTGATGATAAACGACAAAATAAAACGATAAGGTGATAAAATAAGCTTAGGCTAAATCACATGCATGGAGGTTAAGATTGCAAACTAGTCAATTAATGTGGCGTTGCATACATGATTGATTTTCAACGTAAATCCCTAAACTAACAATGAGATTAGGCACTATGCGTGAGTCCCTCACTCAACTCTCTAGTTCTCTAAGCTTTAGCGGTGAAGAGCTTGACATGAACTTTGTGAATCAAAGTATAATCACGTTGGAGAAGTAAACTAAGAAGATAAAAGAGTTTGGATTAGACTTTACCCAAAGTAGAGGAGTTACTATGCTCCGTTGTGATTATTGGAGTGTTGGAGGAGAAGTAGACAGCAATCTGACATTCCTAGCTGCCTTGAAAAGCCTTTGGGAGCCTCTCCAAGTTGCGGGACAGGAAGGGGACGGTGCGGGCTCCTCTGGACGGCAACCACAGTAATTGGGACAGCAGTATGGAGTTGTGGAGAACTCCGGACAGCAAATTCACAGCTCACAGAATTCAGGACAGCGATTTTTTTCTCCAGAAAAATCAGACTTTGGTTGATCCGTTTGAAGGGAAAGTAATGCTGTATGGGCTCCAGGACTTCCCCACGGTTTTCTCCTCCTTGGAATTACTTATGGGAGCTAGGGAGAGTGGTAGGCAGGTAGAGAGAAGGGTTTGAATGCTTGCCTATTCAATAATTTCAATTAGGAATGAGTAAATTCAATCAATCCCAATTTGAATTTCAAATTGGGCTTAATTTAGGGACTTGAATGGTGATTGATTGGCAAGCATTAATGAGGAATATGGAGGAGTGGGCTGGCCTAGATAGGGAGGGGAAAATTGTGTCCACATTCGATGAATGTGGACCAAGGCATTAATTGCAAAAGTGAATTAAATCTGAGATTTATTTCAGATTTAAGGTGAGTTTGAAGGGAATTAATTTGAAATTTGAATTCAAATTAAAGAGGGATAGGGAGCTTTAATGGACATTAATGGGGAAGCCATTAATGGGTGGCTGGCGGCATTAAGGGGGAGGGAGGGAATTAGGGAGGAGATGGGGAGTTTCAAAACAAAGTTTAAGAATTAGGAAAGCTAGTAATAAATCCGATCTTTTGAATTTAAATTGACTTCATGACAAAATACTTTCCTAATCGAGAACTCTAAATATGGAAAGAATTTGAAATTTCAAATGGGATTAAATCCTTTCCTTTTCTTGTGGGAGTTAATGTAGGAAGTCATTAATGTGATGGGGATCACCATAATGAAGGGAATTCATGTGGTGGCCCGCGGCAAGGGTGATGGGGAGGAGTTGGCGTCGGGTTGGGTGGGAGAAGGGACTTAGGCCGGCGGGTGGTGCTTGGGAATGTGGAGTTCGAATGGACTTAGAGGTGGTATTTCGGAGGTGGGGTGGTGGTGGAGATGTGGAAGAACGCCGGAAGTTGAAGATGGAGGAATGAAGAAACAAATATGATAAAAGTAAAAATAACGAACTCACAAAGAGATCGTAAGAACCGCAAATCTTGGACTCTTCCAAAGATTGGCGGGTATTGCAAATCACCCTCCTCGGGCTTCCCTCATGAACTCACTAAGAGATCAAACAAGCACAAGCTTTTTTTTCATTCAATAAGTCGTCATCCTTACATGAAGAGGAGAAGGCTTTAAATAGCCAACGGAATAAAGAAAATACGAAGACACAATTGCCCTTAAGGCAAACACATGACGAGGCCCTTAAACAAGGGCATAAACGGAAAGAAATACAATAGACTCATAAAACATAAAATAAAATATATCAAATACAATAATAATCAAAAGTAGATCGTGGCCGTAGATCATTGATCTTCTGATGTCCTCATCAGGTGGTCGTTGCTAAGAATATCCTTTTTGCAGATCCATTCTTGGCAAATCTCCACAATGGCGGATCTCAATGGTACATCCAGATGCCACACATTTAAGTTCACCAACAAGATCATTTCCAAGAGGCCTCCATACTTGCTTCACCCTCTGCTTGGATCTTTTGGTAGTGGATTGTTGGGTACGAAGCCAAAGTGTGACATCTAATACCTAACTCGTGGTATTCTTTAGGCCTGTAAACTACAAGGCCATTTTGAAGAGTCATGGGATCAATAGCAAACAAGGCTCAGAAATAATTATCATCATGACAAGGGCTACAACAAGAGTCATTCTATTAAATATCCAGACTCTCTTGTAAAACCTCCACAATAGTGGTAATAATAGCAAGAGCCTCAACAGGGGGCATCATGAACTTGGGATAGAGGTTTGTCTAAGAGTAAATTTTAAGCTAATCTTAGCTAACAAGGGGTTTCATACTCCGTCAATTGCACCTTATGACTCACAACTCATAGATATAGCAATTGAGAGCATCCACACTTATGTTGAAACAATAATATAAAGGTATAGTTGTAAATAAGCTAAACATTCAACTAAGGGTATGTGTCATATCTTTGTATGAGATTTTTAAATGTGACCATATTGATACACTTAATATGAAAAATTAGCTATTTAAATTTTGTTCAAAGTTAATTTTTTTATGCTGAGCAAACTGATGTGAAAGACGGATGGACACGACTATTTACTACATGAACTTTATATATATATATATATAATTCTATCGTTTTTTAATGAAGTAAAATTTGATGAAATACCTGCCAAGTATTACATTGCTTTTATTATGTCCATCAGCATGAAAAAAAATGAAATGTGTTTCTTTGAAGTTTGAGGGGATTTTTAGGATGGGCCATTCAGTTGTAATATTCTGATAACCAAACCATCATTGAGAAATAATTTCAGGTATTTAGCTTGATTCATCTTCAGAAGCATGGATTTGCTTGAAACCCCTCCAATTATAATCTATGATAATAACAACCATCATGGGAAAGAGTACATGCCTTGGAGCATGTGTAGAATCTTTTAGGTTGGAGATTCTCTGGCTTAATGATAACATCGAGCAACCATTAGATTAGCACATAAATAGTTGCAACGACCCATTTCTTATTTTTACATGAAAATCATTGTGTTGTGAGCTTTAGTGGCTATTTTATTTACATGATCGAGCTAAAAAGATTATTGGGTTACGAACTGTGTCGATTTTGCCTGCTCACTTGCATATCTTGCCCAACATACCTAAAGCTCAAGCAATCTATTCAAACACGATGATAATAACGAACGACATCACATCAAAAATGTATTGTACAAATTAAAATATTCAAGCACTGCTTGTTTTGTGTAATTAACAATGTCGATCCATCTAAACCGTGAAAATTTTCAAAAATAAGAAAACTCTTGATCAATTCAATTGAGTATAATGAGGACTCCGCCACTGTCCTCTTGTGTGTCAGAGCGAAGAACTGCTCATAAAAAGCCCCTTCCCTGTTAGTTCGAAAATGTTCTAACAAGCAGTCTTTAAACTCCCTCCAGCTCCATATGGGCCTCTTCATGTCCCTCCACAGATACCATGCCAATGTTTTTCCTTCCAAGCACAGGCCAATTGCCATCAATCTCTCCTCCGTCAACTCATTGATGGCAAAGTATATTTCTACCGTGTAGATCCAACCATGTACACCCTCTCCCTCAAACATATGCATCTTTAGCTTCCTCACCCTCAGATCTCCATTGTTCCTTCTGTTTCCCCCACAACCTCCCATTCCCCAAAGGTTGGTCCCCCCAAGTATCTCGATCATCCATTATACGCTTATACGCAAACCTTCATCAAAATCCCTCATCCTTTCAAAAGCAGCAACCCTTTGGTCACAATCATCCCCTCTCATTTCAAATTCAGCACCCATTCGCTCATAATCAGTCCCTTTCCTTTTAAATTCAACACCCCCTTTACTCATATCCAACTCCCTCTACATGTCTCCTCCCAAGGAATGGGATCTAGAGGAGGTCTTTTCTCTTCTCCCTCCGAGATCCCCACCTCTTGTTCTTCCCCTCTCCTTATTAAATTAGGATTTTCCCCACTCCCTTCACTGTCGGCAGCTTCCCTCGCCTCCGATGAGGCCATTTTGGTTTGGACCTCAAACATCTTCTTCATCATGATATCTCCTCCATGATGGAAAACATCCCATTGATCTTCTCGTGGACGGCTAAAATTTGAGTTTGAAAATCAAAATTTTCATATTTCAATTGTTTGATCTCCCTTTCAACCACTTATACCTTTTTTTTTCATGGTACATGAATCTAGCCTCAGAACATCAATAAACAACAATTTGATGAGAATCCAGCCTCTAAACAAGAAGAACGAAGAGAAAATGCAACAGAATTCAACAAGGATGACTTTTATTTTAGCCCAGGAAACTGCTCAAATATTAATTTGATAGAACGTAGATGAGGCCATTTTGGTTTGGACCTCAAGCATCTTCTTCATCATCTCTTGCATGATGGCAAACATCCCATTAATCTTCTCATAAATGGCTAAAATTTGAGTTTGGAAATTTAAAATTTCATATTTCAATTGTCCGATCTCCCTTCAAACAATTCTAATTTTTTTTCTACCATGATACCCGGTTCTAGGCTCCAAATAGCAATAAACAACAATTTGATGCAGATCTTGCCTCTAAATAGCAAGAAAGGAGAGAAAATGTAGCAGAATTCAGCAAGGGAGACTTTTATTTTAGCCCAGGAAACTGCTCTAATATTATTTTAATAGGAAGTAGATGCAACTTCAGCAAAAATCAACGAATGGCACAAGAAAATTGGGAAGAAAAACACCCAAGAATAATTTTTTTATTGAAAGAACTATGAAGGAAAATATAAGATACAATTGGATCTTCAATTTGAGAAGAAGATCCAGCTCTCTTAAATCCCTAGTCGTCGGCTCAAGTGAAATCTACCTCCCACGATTTAAAGCAACAATACATTCATCCTTCGTAAGTCAAGGGTAATAAACCAAATACAATCTCAGCTCATAAATAGCAAATGTAATATTAAATGTATCATTATGATCACTCTAAAAAAATCTCATGCCAGTAAGAACGTGACAAGTGTCTCAAAGAAAGTGATTTTACCACAAAAAGTCACAAAAACATAATGGTTATGACTAGGGTCCTCTAACCAGGTGGATTCGCCATAAAATGGCACCATTGAATCACAATCATATCCAAAGCTCAAAATCCCCCAATGGCCTGAATTATAGGGTGCAAAGTCCTCCATTAGTTATGATCAACTTAAAATTATCCCCTTAAAAAAATGTCCATCACATATTCATACCATTCTTTTGGACGACATAACTCATGGAAACCAACAAGGATCTTTCATCCATGTTAGATAGTGTCTTATACCCTTACAAAAATGTCCATCACATATTCATACCATTCTTTTGGACGACATAACTCATGGCAACCAACAAGGATCTTTCATCCATGTTAGAAGTGTCTTATCACATCAACCAATGCCAATTCCAGCCTTCTAAATTGACGCAAAACACAACCCCCCCCCCCCCCCATAGAAGAGCCAGACGCAGATTTTATGAGTCCACGGCAAAGGCTATGGTTGGGACTTACAATTCTACCCTACCTGCAAGACAACCCATAAAGTTTTCTTTTTAAATGATTTTTTTTGCTTAAAAGTCCATCAAGGCCTTATGCCAAGACATTACAAGATGTTTTAATGACACTTGAATTGTTGATCACCAAGCCACGAGCCATGACAAATATGTCATTTAACCATAGACGATCATGCATAAAAATTATAACTCATGACATTACTTTATAGAAAAGATGGGACGTAGAGTTTTCTTTATAAAATCAATCTTTATTTTGCATAACATTGGAGCATGTGCACAACAACATTTTTTAAGAAATTAAAACCAGATCATAAAGTCCTCACAAACTAAGAGTGACTCATTAATCAATGTCTTATCTCTAATTTACTATATCTTCAAAAAAATTAACCTGGAATAAACTCTCTCCAAAGAGCCAGGCCCGAATTTTCAAAGCCCATAAATTTCTAGCAATTTTTTTAAGCCCTAAAAGACCTTTCAAATTATCTATAAGTTGACGTAAATAGATCATACCACTTCCATATTGTTTAGATCCTAATAATTTGAATCTTGATATTAAACCAAAAAGTAAAATGGAGTGAAAGGTCGAATGTTGTCAAATAACTAGAAACATATCCTAGACAGCATCAACCAATTATAGCCCAACTCATTCATAATCTTTTTGTATCTTTTACAGCATAAGAAAGAAAACACTCCAAGACATCATTTAAAAATTTTCGTGCATGAGGTTACCAAAAATATGAGGTTAATATGAGGTAAGAGGACGGATGGCAGTGTTTATCCCTCTAAATCAAATGGGGCAACCTAGGTATTGACCCTAGTCCACCCTCAATTTTACATAAAATGCCATTGATAACAACTATCACAATAATCAAAAAGTTAAAAAAAAAATTAATGAAAGGCTGTGGTCAACAATCAACTTCAAAGAAACATAACCCGTAGCAGTAAAAAGAATTTGATGAACACAGCCAAAAAGACTTAAAATCGATACGTCAAAAGTAGATAGCTGAAAAAATTTTGTGACACTTCTCACTAAATCCGTATGTAATCAAGATGAAAAAATTAAATGAAAAATATGAATAGAAGATATACAGTAAGGCCAGCATGATGATACGCTACACCAGAAGGCAAAGTTTCTTCTAATATGGGGTCCAACCCAGAAGGACATCTTCGCAAGGCTTCAACAGCAGAGGAATAATCTTTGTATTCACAGTCAACAACACGCATGGAAATCGAATACCCTTTTAAAAACATAGAAATATGCCTCGCAGTTATTTCGCAACCTTTTCTGCTGGAGCAAAATAATAGCACCGACTGCCCCTCTTGAACAACCTGGGTAAAGGCCGTTTTGTAAGAGATCAAGGTAATTAAGAAAAATTTCTATGACTGCTTAAAAAATAAAACTTAAGCATCGTTTGGGACGGCTTTCTTACTGCTTCTTAAAGCAACTTTTTAGTATACAAATTTTAATTTTTGTATTAGAAAGCTATTTTTAGAAGCAGTTAGAAAGCCGTCCCAAACGAAGCCTTAATATATTATGGACAGGAACAAACAAAAACAGTTACCTCATTGCAAAGTTCCACAATATGATCTGGGTCTTTTCCACCAAGGTCTGCAGTTTTTGGTAAAACACGAACAGCATCCATCTTTTTGTTAAAAATGGTGTTTCCGACTTTAATGAATTCCTCTAGTGGGACTGGTCTAAAATTAGTCTGATACAGTGCTGCCTGCAAGTTTAAAGATATATTTTTAGGAAAAATAAAAGCATATTGTAACACATTGGTGCATAAACTCTCGTGTCCTTCTAACAGTAAACAGCATATTTAATTTATATCTCATATAACATTCATCCTTACAAAAAATAAAAAGTTTAACATAAAGATTGAAATATAATCAGGGGGGAACAAAAGGAAGCAACTTCAAGTTCCATTTACATTAGTACACATGAATTTTCAAATGAAGATCAAACTCAAAAGGCGCACGTTAGCTACAGGATCTAAGAAGGGATTGATGAAATCAACATTACCTTGCATATTTACACATGTTTTATATTTTTAGAACAAAAACAAACTCAGAAGACCAGTTAGATATGGGGTCTAAGATGAACTAAATATTGCCATGCATTAAGCATAAAAATAAATAAAAAAATAGATCAAAATTAGGAACAAAGCTATTGCACCACAGCTCGCTCTCCATTACTATGGCAGGAACATAACCAGTTTCAAGTTATTCGAAAGATCGACAGTCAAATAGAAACCAAATATCTTGGAGCCAATTTTCAGAATTAATTAAACAATTTTAACTTTCCACTTCAATAACCGTGACCAGTAAAATTTTGTACTTCTAAGTTGAATGAAGCAAGAGTCATGTAACTTCACCACCACGTCCCAGCAAGACACAAGCAGAGTGGTCAAAACAATCAATCAAAGGGAAGCAAACTGTGTCTTATATTTTCCATAATCCCTACATAAAAACCTCAAGAGAAATTACAAATACCTACAACAAAGGCACTCCCATCAGGCTTTTAAAAATTAAACACTTAAATTAAGAGAAAAGAGAAAAGATTTTCCCCAAAAAAAAATTAAGAGAAAAGTACAAGTTCTCACTTGAAGCCAATCAGCTACAGCTGCAAGATTAGGCATGGTTGCACTCATTCCAACAATCTGCAGACCACATGCAACATCTGTTTTTCCACTACTGGTCGTTGAACCCTCTTCACTACATGATTCTGAGATCCCTTCCCCAGCAGCATAACGCAGCTTAGTCAGCATTAGCTCCAAAAGATACCCTCTATGTTGATCGCCGACCTATAATCACAAATGTTAGAATCTGAGTGCCTTGAAACAGTATAGCATCAGTAAAGGACAAATCATGGTTTTTCAAACTAGTTAAACAGAAGAGGATAAAATTAGAGAATATATTGAACAGTCAAAATAAATCTTGTAAAAATAAAAATCGTGAGCCAAAAAGAAATTTTCTCCAAGGAAAATTATTTTTCACGAAATATTTTGTGCAAAATCTACAATATAGGTCATTCAAAAGCTTGATGGAAATCCTAAAGCTATCAGCATAGGGTGCAACTTTACATTAGAAAAATAAGTTAAAGACATTCAAATTACCCCTGGAGATGGAAAAGTAAACAACCTAGAAATTCAATCAAAACTCAGGAAACTCCAATTATTCTACTTTTAAAAGAACAGTTGCAGGGTGGGGCAAAAGCTATAATTTTTTTTAAAACAAATAGAAGGCACATTAAAAAATACCTTATATTAAGATTTTATTGATCCACATGACTTTTAGCTGATAGGAATTAGCAGATTTTTAGTACTATATATTTTTCTCATGGTGATTATCTTCTAATTAGAGTTTTAGTGGTAGTTTGGATTTTTTGTTATAAGGCTATTTCTATAAATCGACCGTTATTTATTGTAAAAACCATGTGATGAGCTGAATTCAAAGAAAAATTGATGTAATACAATGAAGATGAAACAAGAATTGCATATACGAAATTAATAAAAGGTGAACTTAGCTCGGCTAAACTTAAGCAGATGCATTCTCAAGTTAGATCTTAGAAAATTCCACAGAAAGACTAAGTAACGACAAGTTATTATAATAGAGATTAATAGAAGACTCGCAAAATTACATCATCAAATAAATAAGTAGGGCAAATGGCACGTAACAAAATCCACAGTTTAAAATTTAGATCTTTCACCTTGGGATCCCTCACTTACACTCTTGATATTGATCGGCTTAGCAGAGGAAGGTTGCAAGCAAGCTTCGGTGATGTGATACCAGGAATTGAATCTTAGAAAATTAATAAAAGTTGTTTAAAACAATGAAAATTCAATCTTGAGGCTTTTCTTAATTGATATTTCAAAAGAGATCTTAGAATCTTACTAGTCTAGGCAAGATATTACCACTAAATTAGCAAGATCTATAAAATAACGACGGCAATAAGTAGTAGTGCAAATGAAAAGCCAACGAGAATCCGACGGTTAACAAAGCGATTGTCTCACCTTGAGGCTACGCTCATTTGTCTACTTCTAGGGTTGTCGGAAGAAGAAGAACCACACAAGAGATGAAACCACTCCGAGGGAGACGGTGCCGGCGATCCGTAGTGATGGAGAGGAAGGCGTAGGATGTGGAGGTGGCGTGGAGTTTCGGCCGTCGATGGTCCACTCGTAGTCCGGACGTTGTCTATCAATGACTTGGATGAGGGTCGGGAGGATCCGATCCAAGTAATCTCCCACGGTGTCTTCGACGGATTCAAATCCCGCGTCAAAGAACGGCGATTGGAGGACGTCTAGATTACCGTGGGCATCAAACACAAGCCCCCATTCTAGCTCGGGATCCGACATGCGACATGGAGGCGAAGATGGGTGATCGCCGCAAGCTCTCCAATGGGAGGTGGAGGGAGAGGGGGTCGGCGGGTTGAAGAGGTGGAGGGAGGCCGGCGGTAGAGCTAGGGTGGAAGGGTGAGGGTTTTGTTTGAAAACTGAAATTAATTTAAGTTTAAGGGAATTGGGAGGGAAAATTTGAGATTTGAATTTTCCAATTAAGAGGCATATAAGGCAAAAGAATTTTTAATTGATTGGAGCCATGATGGGGGGCCGGCGGGAGAGATAGAGGTGGAGGGGGATTCTAAAAACTGAAATTACTTTCAGTTTTGGATGTAATTGGAGGGAGAAGAATTTTGGGGTTTAATTAGGGCTTCAAATAAGGGGAAGTTAATTCCCTAATTAATGGGATTGCCACCTAAGGGGGGCCGGCGGCATTACTAGAGGGAGAGGGAGTTAGGGAGAGAGGGGGGAATGTTTCCAAACATAAAAGGTGACTAGGAAAAAAATCTGAAATAAAATCCAAACCAATTGTAATTTAACTTTGGATTTATTCAAAAACTTTCCTTAAATAGACTTCCCAAATTTGGAAAGAAATTGAAATTTGAAAATTTCGAATTTCAATGAGGGGTTGAGAGGGGATGTGGGGGAGGTGGTGGAAAGGGAGGAAGGTGGAGAGGAGACGCAGGCAATGGGCCGGCCGGCCGGTGGGAGTAGGGTGGCCGACGGGTGGGGATCCCAAGGATATGGCAAAAGTGGAGAGGGTCATCTTCTTCCAAAACCGTGGGTATGGATTGTGGGATTTGAGGATGAGAAGAAGAGTTATGGATGTAGACACCAAGAGAACTCAGAAAGAGATCTCATGCAAGAACTCACCAAGAAATCTTCTTGAACTCACAAAGAGAACATATTAGTGGAAAATTTTCATTCATCAATAATCTCCTACAATACAATGATCAAGACTTTATATAGGCTTATCGAACATAAAGAAAATAAAAGACAACATTGCCCTTGGGCTACAACAAACACTAATTCCGTCATAGGGATACAAATGGAAAAACAGGAAATACAAATGACATGAATACAATAAAGCATCAAAAATAAAGCTGCTTAATCATGGTCGTCGCTCGACGACCTCTCCGATGGTACGTATGTCAGAATCTTCTACAGATGTCCTCATCATTCTCCCCGGGTGGGAGGGAACTCGACCCTGTCGAGTAAGGGCCCTGAAAACTCTCGTACAGCTCCAGAAGGTCGGGGTCCAATCTTTGTATCTCATCCCGCTCTAACCATGTATCCTCCGTCTCCGGCTTCCCTCTCCAACGAACTTAAGTATCTTTGGCGCCCGCCGTCCCTGGTGGAAATGATCTCATCACTGAGTATGGCTTCAATCTTCTCCGTATTAGGTAATGTGGGAATTTTGGTAAGTGGAGGTAGGCTTGGGATCTCACTAGGTATGGACTCACAAGGCTCAAGATTTAGTGGATTTTCATGGTTAAAATCAGGGCCATCAAAGGCTACTAGATCCTCAATGTTAAACGTGGGATTCATGTTGAAACCTTCGGGAAGGTCCAAGACATAGGCATTACTGTTTATTTTTGAAGTTATTTTAAAGGGACCTGCACTTTTAGCATGTAGTTTCTTAACGGCCCCTGGTGGGAACCGCTCCGGACGAATCCGAACCATGACATAGTCTCCAACTTCGAACTCCTTGAAGCGTCGCTTAAGATCAGCATTAAGTTTGTATTTCTCATTACTTTGTACAATTCTTTTATTAATTTCTTGTTGTAATTCCTGGATATGCGATGCAAATGCGGATGCAGACTCTGACACTCTAAGCTTAGGACTCATGGGGAGTAAATCCATTGGTTGTCTAGGTTGGTATCCATAAACAATCACAGATGGGCTCATACCGGTGGTCCGATTGACATAATTATTGTAGGCAAATTCAGCAATGGGTAGTTTGGAATCTCAATCCCTAATGTTCTCACCTTAAGGTCCTATGAAGGTTCCCAAGGCTCCGATTAACAACTTCCATTTGGCGATCCGTTTGTGGGTGAAAGGCGGTGGAGAACTGCAGCTTAGTACCCATCTTAATCCATAAGTTTTCCAGAAATAGCTCGTAAATTTCATGTCTCGATCCGACACAATTGTTTTTGGGAGTCCATGGAGTCGGACAATCTCATCAAAGTATAGTTTGGCAATCCTAGAGGCATCGAACGTTTTAGCATAAGGGAGGAAGTGGGCCATCTTAGAGAAGAGATCTACTACGACACAGATAGAATCATGCTTTCTAGTGGTTTTGGGTAGTCCTAGGACAAAGTCCATACTAACGTCTTGCCAAGGGCAGTTTGGGACGGGAAGTGGGGTGTCGAGGCCCGTGTTTTGCTTTCTCTGTTTAGCTAGTTGGCAGGTGTGGCAACGTTTGATCAGTCTACTAATGTCTCGCTTAAGGCTGGGCTAGAAAAATCTTTACTCAACCGCTGCAATGGTCTTAGCCTGCCCAAAATGTCCAGCTAAGCCTCCCGCGTGTAGTTCCCACACAAGAAATTCACGAAGAGAGGTGTTGGGAATACACAACGTCTGAGACTTGAATAAGTATCCATTTTCCAACAAGAAATCATTCACAACTTGTTTATCTCCAGTCGTCAGTGAGGAATATGTCTCTTTAAAATAAGGACACTCTTTATAGTCATCCTTGATGCGTTCAAATCCAACAATCTTCTACGGATAGGTGGTTGGCCGTCAGTGAGGATATGGTCGTTGTTCGACGACCTCTCCGATGGTACGTATGTCGGAATCTTCTACGGATGTCCTCATCATTAGGGATGTCACTAATAGACACGTGATGCCAAGAGGGCTAGTCGCCGGGGAAGGAGCCGGAGTTGGGGGAACGGGTGGTTGTCCGGTGATCTTCCACTCTTCAAGAAGTCTTTGTTCGTCGAAGAAGTCCGCCAAGTGGGGGAGGATACAGTCAACGTATTCCTTGACGGTGCTTTCGGCTCCAAATCCGGGGTCAAAGAAGGGTGACTGGATGACGTCAATCTCCCTATGAGAATTGAGAATAAGTCTGTGATCAACTTACGGATCCGCCATTCATGATCCTGAACGGACTTGATGTGTAAAGGAGTAGAGGTGGAGCAGCCACCACTTAGGAGAGGTGGCCAAGAGGAGGAGGGAGGCGGGTGAGATCTCGGGTAGGAGGTGGAGAGGGGAGGGGCAACTAGGTTTAGGTTAGGGTTTGGAGTAATTAAGAGAAATCTGAAATTAATTTCAGATTAAGTGAATTCGGAGGGAAAGAATTTGAATTTTGAATTCAAGCTACAAAATAGGGTTGGGGGATTAAGAGGGAAAAAACTAAAGTGGAGCCCCTATAGGGCTGGCGGCATTGAAGAGTGGGAGAGGGAGTTGGGAAGGGACTTAAGGGTTTCCTAATTTATCTTGGCAAATTAGGGATGAGGAATTCAAATCCAATTTAATTTAAAATTAAATTGATTCTGATGTGATGCAATGAAGAGTTACACAAGAATTTAAAAGAGAATTAAATTTAGCTCCACAAATTATCTAATCATGCATCAAAGTCAGTCAATTATAAGTAATTCGCGGCGTTCGATTTGCTAGGCAAAGAAACTACGACAAGAGAACTAAACTCTTTAAGCAAGTGCGAAGGAACAATAAAACAAAGGCTAGTAAATAGGAATCCCATGGTTAATACAAAGTTGTTCACCTTGAGACCTTTAGCTCTCTCTTCCTACAGAGACTAAGTTGAGCGACGGAAGATTGTCCAAACTAGCATGGAGGTTGCCACAAAGATGGAAGCACCAAGGAACGTTGCCGTGGAAGAGGATCTCGGAGGCGGAGGAGGCACGGTAGATCGACCTTTGATAATCCAAGTGTAGACGGAGAAGTGTTCGTCAATGGAGTCTACAAGCGTCGGCAAGATTCGGTCCAAGTATTCGTCGACGGTATCGTCGAAGTCAAATCTGACGTCAAAGAATTGGGATCGCAAGATATTGACTCTTCCGTTGCGGTCGTATTCAAACCCGTAGTTCCACTCGGGTTCGTCCATGCATCCTTGGAGTAGAGCCGGATGGTTGCCGCAAGCAAGATCTTCCCAAGGAGGGCAGGTGGGGTGGCGGCTTGGCTAAGGGAGAGGGGAGCCGGCGGGAGACTAGAGAGGGAGGCGGGGGGAGCCGTGGCCAACACCTGGGAAGGCTGGCCGGCGGGTGATTCCAGCCAAAATGGCCGGCAGCTCTGAGCAAATTTTGTTGGGCGGCGGCAACTGCAGGGCTAGTGGTCCGGCTTCTCTTCACGATTGCGAATTGTATGCGGGAGATGTGTGGATGGAAGAAGATGATCGCATGTAGTAATTCGAGAACTCACTAAGAGATCTCTAATGGAACTCACAAAGAGATCCACATCTTTGGCACTCACAAAGAGAACACAAATCACAAATTTTCATTCAATAATTCAATAGTCCTCATACAAGATACAATGGCCATATAAATAGGCTCCAAAATTAATAAAGTGCAAAAGTCTAAAATGCCCCTTGGGGCTACAAAAGCAATTACTACCCTCAGGGGCAAAATGGGAAACTACGAAAATAAAAGCATAATATAAAAAACTGATGGTACAAGTAAAATCAATAATAAAGGCTCGCAATCGTGGTCGTCGATCTCCGTGGTCGTCTCTGATAGACGCACTGAAATCTCCTATCGATGACCTCATCAGATTCTCATTGGAAACTTTCCTAATTTGGCTTTAGTCAAATTTGGAAACTTTGAAACTCAATTTGAATTTCAAATTTTCAAAATAATGGGGGAAGAGGAGGTCGGTGGTTAAATTAAGGAAAGGGAAGGTGGAGGTGGGGAGGCCGGCGGCTAGGTGTTTGGCCTGCGGGTGGGGCATCCAAGGAGGCCGGCGGTATGGGGTAGGGCTCGGGTTGTGGGAAGAAAAAAAAAGGGTATTGGTTAGGGAGGCCGGCGGGTGAGGGGTTAGGAGAGGACGTATATGTTAGGGAAGAAGAAGAGATCGGGGCCGCGAACATTGGAATCCTCCGACGGTTGACAGGTCTTGTTATCACCCTCCTCGGGTTTCTCCTATCATGAACTCACTTAGAGATCAAAACAAAGAACATAAAACTTCATTCAATAATCATCCACTAGTACAATGCAAGAGGCCTCCTATAAATAGGCCCAAATAAAAGAAAACAAAAAAGACTAAATTGCCCTCGGGCTACAACATAGACTCAACTCCCCATAGGGGTAAAAGGGGAAACATAAAACATAAAACAGAAAATACATCACAAATACAGGCTCTGAATCTTAACCGTCGACCCATGACTATGTCGACGATACACATGTTGAAATCTCTGACTAATGTCTTATCAAAAATTTTGTCAGCCCTTATTGAGGCTCTCCCTAGCTTTCTTGCTTTAAGGATTTGACAAACGGTTATTGAGGAATCAACATCAACAGCTTGAGAATTTGATACTAAAGTCCTTATTTTCAAATTTCATGGTTGTTTTACTATCATGTTGCATATCGTACATCAATTTAGTATAAAAATTGAATCAACTGTTGTTTGGCTCTAATTTTTATAAATATGTCAGTGTTCACTTACACATATCAGTATCAATTTTATGTATTTATTTCTCTTCCATGCATCTCTCCACCTTTTGCCTCTCTACCTCTTTTCATGAGAAAAAAGGTATGGAAACTATATTCACACAAATAAATTCCAGGTTTCTATGCTGCCCCGATTATCATGATTCACATCTAAAAAGAGTTTGTTGATCTAAAAAAGAGAGAAAATTATAGCTTTGATTTACATACATGAATTAAACAAGATAATATAAGAATCAAATAGACAACTCACCATATGAAGTTCATCAATCACAATAATTCCAACTTCAGAAAGACGACCCTCTTCTAACAACCTATTAATCAAGGAATTGGCTTTCTCGATTGTACAAACGGCTACTGATGTATCTTTGGGAAGTGAGCCACCACCTTGGTTTCCATAGAAGCTACGCACATGCTTGCCAAGAGGCTGAAGTAGTAGTTCCAAATGTTCAGCCTACATGAAATTGTGTAAAACATATTAATGATACTAAAAATCCTATAATTAACAACGAAACGATGAATGAAAGTACCTTTTCTGCACAAATTGATACATAGGGAAGAACAAGAAGAGCCATTTTTCCCGTTGCTATAACTCTCCTCAGCATCAAAATTTCAGCCACAAAACTTTTACCGGCACTGATAAATAGCAAATATTTATAAATGATACATAAAATTTTCAGAAGTAATACAATTTACCATATATAGCTCCTCCAATTTTACAAGGAAGAAATACATAATAACAAGCATAGCTTTGGCAAACCTGATTTGAGTCAGGTAAGCCTGACTTTAGTTAGGTTAGCCTGGTATGAGTTAACCTAGCCTGACATACAATAATGTACCATTTGGCATCTGTATACCAAAGAGAATGCTGACTCAACAGTCTCAACCTACGTTTGTTTGGGTTAGTTTAGGTCGTATTGGAATGTACATTGCAATGAAATTGTTATTTAGATAATACTAAGGATATATTAAAACTCAAAATAAATTCAACAGTTTTTAAACTCTTTTATAAAGTTAAGTGGTATTTTTTGTGTTTTGTGGAATTAACCAGTGTTCTGTAAAATTTATCCAGCTCATCAGTTTCTTCAATGATTAATGTTCATGCCAATAATAAAAAATGAGAAAAAATTTCTTAAACAACACCAAATCCAATTTATGGTCGTGCTCTCATTTAAATAAAACTTAAAGAAATTGTTGGAATAAAAATGTTGAATTTTACTTGAGAAATTGTTAAAATTTTAAAGAAGTATTAATAAAGTTAGTGCTTGGAAAAAATTTTAGCACTTTTGCCATTCTTTTATGTTGTTATATGAAACGTATTTTATCTTTTATTCTTTTTTTTTCAGCATAGAGTTTGCCTCGCTAGCATGAAATCAAAAACCAAATGATAGAAAAATTGATGTAGAACGGGACACGCTCTAAGTCCACCTCCGAAAAACCTGAAAACAGTTTCAGATTTTGATCCAAAAATTCTGAGAGAAACTTCAGATTTTCTTCTTGAGAGAATGGAAGTGGAGATAAAGGGTTTTGGGGTTTAAAACTCAAGTGGAGAGTTGAAGGTGCACAGGGAAATTTGGGAGAGAAACAACCTAGGTTGGGACTTTGAGAGTCACGGCCAGCAGCAGGTCGGATCCCAAATTCCTTCCAAAAAGGGGAGCAAAATTTGTGGACAGATTTTGAGAAAATCTGTAAGGGGGTTGACGGAACTATGGAAAGAAATTAGGGAGTTAATTCCTAATTCTACTCTACAGGTTTTGGAAAGTGAAGTGAATTCACGGGAGCTTCTACTGGAGGAATTCCCACGTGATGGCCTGGGAAGCTTTCGGCCAGCAGAAATCAGAGCAATTAATGTACAGATATTTGAGGATTTTCTTTTGAATTTGGGAGGGAAAAACTGAACTTAATTCCTCCAATCAAAGCCTGTTGATTAGGAAAGAAATTAAGAAAAATATGAGGGAGAGGAGGGGGCGGGTGGTGTAGAGAGGCGAGAAATTAATTACTTCATCAAGAGGGGGGTTAACTTTGGAAGTAATTAAAGATGTGGGGCCTTGAAAGTTTCGGCCAGAAGAGTGCTGGGGAGAAAGAATTAATGCCAAGGAGAAGTTACGGGAATGAAGAGGTGAATTAGAGAATTAATTCCCAATTCCCTCTACAGAACTTCGAAAGTGATTAAAGGCTTGTAAATTTCGGACAAAACAAAACTCTCAGATTTTGACATATTTCCAAAGAGAATAAATGGGTTTTAAAGAAGATTTTAAATCCTAATAAAAATCGAAATTGATTTGAATGAGGTGTTAAGACATTCCTAAAATAGATTAACTAAATTAGGAAATAATTTGAATTCAAATTTGGATGAATTTGAATTTCAAATTAATCCCAATTAATTTCAATCCAAATTAAGAAATAAATTAAAGGGGACCAAGGGAAATGGGGCCGGCGGATGGGGTCTTGGCCGGCGGCCAATTGGGGACGGATGGAGGTGGCCGAGGCTATGGGGAATTTTTTTAGTAGAGCTTGGTGTATGGAGGAAGTTGGGGGAAATTTGGTGGAGTTGGATGTGACGAAGACGAATGATGAAACGTCGATTTACGATGCCTCCTGTGATAGATGCGCCAAATCTTTGTGCCGATGTCCGCATCATTCTCCCCAGATGGGAGAATACTCGACTCCGTCGAGTTAGCATCACAACTGGTCATGTAAAACTCTGGACTGTTATTTGCAAAGATTTTCAAACCACCCCGGTTGCCCACAAGGTCAACTTGCTTGTTGCACTTCTTTTCGCCTGCAGGAACTTGTTCACTCTCATAGATTGTTTTACTCGCAATAGGAGCAATCGTGAGCTCTATGGAAGTCACTTCCAGAGCTTCATCAACATTCTCCGTTGTAGGAGTTTTAACGGGGTCAGAAGAAACCATTGCTTCTGTAGGAGTTGTAATGGAATCAACCAATTCATCTTCTTCTTCAGATTCTTCCTTGATCACCTTAGATTTCTCTTTGATTTGCACAGTGATTGGGAAATTGAACGTTTCATTGGCCTCCATCCATTTGTCCACTCTATCCCTTATCTCTCTATCTCTTAGTGCCCTTTTTCTATCCTTTGAGGAAGGGGATCTTGCAGATGTATAAAGCAGAGAGTCAGTCCTACCTCGCACTAGGTTATCGAGTCGTTTGATTGTTTGACGGTGGAAGTCGGCTAAGTCCGCTTGATTCTCCTTTAGATGATGACTAATGGCGCCCAGTTGACCTGCCACCCAGTCTAGAGTCCTTCCAAGTCGATCCGAGTCCATGCTCTGATACCAAACTGATGTAGAACGGGACATGCTCTAAGTCCGCTTCCCAAAAATCTGAAAACAAAATCAGATTTTGATCCAAAAATTCTGAGAGAAACTTCAGATTTTCTTCTTGAGAGAATGGAAGCGAAGATAAAGGGTTTTGGGGTTTAGAACTCAAGTGGAGAGTTGAAGGTGCACCGGGAAATTTGGGAGAGAAACAACCTAGGTTGGACTTTGAGAGCCACGGCCGGCAACAGGTTGGATCCCAAATTCCTTCCAAAAAGGGGAGCAAAATTTGTGGACTATGGAAAGAAATTAGGGAGTTAATTCCTAATTCTACTCTACAGGTTTTGGAAAGTGAAGTGAATTTGCGGGAGCTTCTAGTAGAGGAATTCCCACGTGATGGCTTGGGAAGCTTTCGGCCAGCAGAAATCAGAGCAATTAATGTACAGATATTTGAGGATTTTCTTTTGAATTTGGGAGGGAAAAACTGAACTTAATTCCTCCAATCAAAGCCTGTTGATTAGGAAAGAAATTAAGAAAAATATGAGGGAGAGGAGGGGGCGGATGGTGTAGAGAGGGGAGAAATTAATTACTTCATCAAGAGGGGAGTTAACTTTGGAAGTAATTAAAGATGTGGGGCCTTGAAAGTTTCGGCCAGGAGAGTGCTGGGGAGAAAGAATTAATGCCAAGGAGAAGTTACGGGAATGAAGAGTTGAATTAGAGAATTAATTCCCAATTCCCTCTACAGAACTTAGAAAGTGATTAAAGGCTTGTAAATTTCGGTCAAAACAAAACTCTCAGATTTTGACATATTTCCAAAGAGAATAAATGGGAAAGAAGATTTTAAATCCTAATAAAAATCGAAATTGATTTGAATGAGGTGTTAAGACATTCCTAAAATAGATTAACTAAATTAGGAAATAATTTGAATTCAAATTTGGATGAATTTGAATTTCAAATTAATCCCAATTAATTCCAATCCAAATTAAGAAATAAATTAAAGGGGACCAAGGGAAATGGGGCCGGCGGATGGGGTCTTGGCCGGCGGCCAATTGGGGACGGATGGAGGTGGCCGAGGCTATGGGGAATTTTTTTAGTAGAGCTTGGTGTATGGAGGAAATTGGGGGAAATTTGGTGGAGTTGGATGTGACGAAGACGAATGATGAAAGATGGCGAGGGAAGACGAAAATACAAAGAAGGAATAAAAAAAACAAAAACCAAAGATAGAAGATAAAACGAAAGAGAGAAAACAAAAACCGCGAGCCTTGGACTCTTCCGAAAACTGACGGGTGATCCGATTGCCCTTCTCCAAGGGACTTCAAATCACGAGCCCGGACCCATACTGCGGCTGGTGAAGACTTCGATTCCTCTCATATGAATCTCACTAACGCTCTCTCACAAGAAGAACACAAGTGTGGAAAATAATTTTTCATATCAATAATTTTCCTATTACAATAGCTTAAGACCCTATATATATAGGCCACATCATGAGAAAATCAAAAATTACAAAAATGCCCCTTGGGCCACCACACTCAAATAAACTAACCTAGGGGTAGAACAGGAAATAAAATAAGAGCTAAACTTCATAAAATAAATCATAAATAACAATGTAAATTAGAGCCGTCGATTTACGACGCCTCCTGTGATAGATGCCCAAATCTTCGTGCCGATGTCCGCATCAAAAATTAAGGTAAATTTCTTTTTGAAATTAGTTTTTTTTTTCTGTTCGCAGGGAAATGCCAGTCAGAAGTAAAGAGAGATAATATCAATATAGACTTTGTAGTAATGTGAATCACGATAATCTCTCTGTATTTTGAAACCCAAGGAATGAAAGAAGCTCCTGCCATCTAGCAATACTATGGAAAATAAAAATTCAGATGTATAAATGCTCATAATGATATTATGATTTTGGCAATATGTAATGAAAATGATTTGTAAATATGCCACATGAGATAATAACCGAATACAGAATTAGTAACCAGTCTAAAAAAATATGATCAGGCTATTTTACAGAAAATAGCATAAATTTAAATACAAGGTTTTAATAACTATCAATTAAATAAATGCAAGTGTCTAAACTATAACAAATTCAATCATATCCTAATTATATAATGTGGTTGGTAGCTGATGTATCTCTTAGTTTAAAATTTCAATTTGTGGAATGAAAGAAAGAGAATGCAAGAGGATTCAAATAATTTCAGTGAGGTTCTTAAAATTAAGTCTGCACAACACAAGGTTGGCCAATTGACACGAAAGTTATTCCATACTTACCTTCACCATAGAATACAATAAAACCTTGACATAAAATCGATGTCCTTGAGAAAGATTGAAATTCCTTGAGCATAAAAGGTTGGAAAAGAA